TAGAAAACTCAAAATTCCAAATATCATATCTGAACCTTAATAATTCCCAGTGTGCAATAAGTTCATGTTACTCACAAATGGAATTGTAATTAAATAAAATAATAATAAATATTTTAATCTGTGAAAAAAAAAGTTTTGTATCAAACCAAAAGTAAAAGAACTGATGCACTTGGTATGAATAAGACTTATATAAAACCAGAAGCTGCAGGTGGCCTGTTACCAGTCCTCAGTGGAGGGAGGGCTCTCCTACTGTCCAGGTGTTTGGGACACAGGAGCCTCAACTGAGAACAGGAAGGATACACAGAGGGTAATTGCAGAGCCCAAAAGATCATTGGCTGCCACCTCTGTTAGCCATCATCAGATGACACAGTTTTTTCAGGCTCCTCAAATCTAGCACGTCTTCCCTTTGACATGAAAAGACCGTGATTGAGCAAATCAAGGAGGCCTGGAAAGCTGGTGGAGTCTGCTGCTCTGTTTTTTGTGTAGTACTCATAACAGAGTGCAACAACCCCCCAGAAGAAAGGCGGCTCAAAGCTGCTCATGCCAGGTTTGGAGTAGGTTAGATACCATTTGCCTTTGCCCTTTTTAAAATGTCATCTTTATCCTGACTGGCTTGAATTAAGCGTTTCTTATAAACTTGTCCAAGAGTGTCGGCCACGTAAGAGTTAATTGGAGCTCTTGCAACCACTGTCTTGGCCCATTTTTCAGCTAGTCTTAAATTCTTGGTTTTTGTGCAATATAGACGAGAAATTTTTGGGGGGGGAAACAAGAATTTCTTGGAATTTGTATGTTGCAGATTTCAATACAGAGACAGCACGGTGAAGCTTTTCTTTTTCCAAAATGTCTGTTATCAATCCTGAAAACTTTTTTTCTTTGTTTTTCCCATTTCTCTCTTTTGTTAACAAATCTTTAATTAATTGTTTATACACATGGTTCAGTTTGAGCAACACAAACTGAATCCATTAATTTCTTCACAGTTTTACTTCAGTTAAACCCAAAGTCATTGAGTTTCTCCACAGCTTCCCGTGCTATCTCCTGGTCCATTGAAACACCTTATTAATGAAGGAGATAAAAGGCTTCATTCGTTCTTCAAATGGGGGTCCTCCATGGATTGGATCAGGTGGTCTAAGGATTTGTTGACACTGTTGCATCGGGAGGTGAAACTCAGGAACGTAAGCATTAATCAGTGCCAAGAAAGAGAACAGCTCCCTGGTTCTGGACACAGTAGGATTATCTGTGATGTCAGTCTCCAAAACTCCTGCTACATTTTCATTTTGTTCCATGGCTTTAAGCTTAGACTTCAGAATGAAGAGGAATGTTTTGTGTCTTTCTTTAAATCCCACTGGACTAGTTTCTGAAGCAGAAACTAGTCCAGTGGGATTAGACAGAAAAACATAACATAATTACACTATCATGCATAGTGTCCACCCCATACTGCCTTCTTAGTTTATGCTTTCTGACATGAAGACTAACAAAACTAGATGCTGCATCTCTCCCAAAACACAACAAAACACAACAAAAAACAAATCAAAACAAAAACACTAACCATAGTTGCAGCACAGATGTTATAATTTGCTATAACATTTTGACAGCTCAGCTAATGTACAGGTAAACCGTTTGAATCAAAACCTCATTCTTCATTGTGCTTTTTTTCACATACCTCAGTCTGATGTCAGTGAGAGTGGATATGCTTGATATGGTCAAGTCAGGTGCACAGCCTACCTGCTGGGGTGCTTTTTCGCTACCTACATTTAGGGCCACTGCCCTTATAGGCAGCGAGTGCTGGTTGGTTGCAATACCTGTACCTATCCAGCTGGCTTGCTCCAGTTTCCATAGGGAGCTGTGCAGGATATTCCTCTTCTTGCCACTGTTTACTCGCATGGTGCAAGTTCAGCAGTCCGTGTATTTTGTTTTAAGTGTATGTGTGCATGCGCGTTTGTGGTTTCTTGTTTTATTAAAATGTACACTTTCTCAAGACTGTGAGCCGCGAGCTTGGTGCTTGGTGTCCTTGTAGAGTTTTTCATTGACTTTTAACATGTTTTTAACTTGAGGGACAGATTTTGTTTTTAAAACAGCAAACTAAAGACACACCAGTAGCCGTCGGACCTTCAGTGGTGGGTCGCTCTTTTAACACTTAATATGACTACTTCATGTTATGGATGCACAGTGTGAGCATTCAGGTCGCATCAGAGCATTGGGCCATATGGTGTGAGTACCTGCATCATGACCTACAAACTTCTAACCTCTGCAATTCAATTGTACAGTTTGAGCAGGAGCTGAATCACACACAGTGCATGCCAGCTTAACTCCTGTCCATTGTACAGTTTTATGTAATCCAAGACAGGTTGTGCCACAGTTAGCTTTATTGTTTTATTCTTTGTGTTATTTTGACCAACACAAAGACATACGAATATTGGAGCATCCTTGAATCTCTACAATCTTTTCTGGTTTTTAAGATTTTGTATTTCCTGGGAATGGAATTCCCCTAGATAGCGTTGTCATTTTATTTTTATTATAGCCCCTTTTGATCGCTTTGTCACATCTGGACATTAAATTATCGAATCACCAAATAGATTTATGATTTATTACAGCTTGGATTGTTAGGTTCTTAACTTACAAATTTTAAATAAAGAGAAAATTTAACTGTTTTTCTGTCTTTCAAAAACACACAAGAGATATTTTGGCTTACTCACCTTTTAGGAGACCTGTTAGAGCTGCAGCAGGTGTGTGATGACAGGAGAGTCTCAGCCACGCCTGCTGCATACTGCACATTCCTGTGTCTTTGGTATTATGTAATATGTTCCATTGTGCTGAGCGTGATGTCATCTCTTCCTGGGGATCAAGCATGTTAGTGAGACAATTGTATTAATCTTTGTGCATTAGTAAAATACCTTCAATCATAGCTTCATTCATTTCAGCAGAAATGAAAATGAAATGAAAAGTACTGCTTTCCTGTACATAGTCAGTTTACCAGAAATTTGTCTTAATGGTTTCTAATTACAGTGATATCATGCAGTATAATTAAGCTGTTGGTTTTATTATCAAATCATTAAGATCCAATACCAGCGTCTCTTAAACGGAGAAGAATGGACTGCACGGCAAATCACTAAAATTAATAAAGTTCATCCACTGAAAGGTTCTCACAATGATCAGAATCGACTGATTTCTGTGATTTATTTATTGTAATAATGTTAGTATATTCATTTGAACAAAACAGAATATTTAACAGGTCAAATTGATATCATTCAACAGATCTAGTAAACCCGTAGTTCAAAATTAATTAGGGCCCAAGCACTGAAGTGCAAAGGCCCTATTGGTTCTGTTTATTATTTTTCAGTGAAATTAATGGCCTTTAACATGTTGAACTCATTAAATTTTGTACACGTATCAGGTCTGGTGAAAAATTACACATTTTAATAGTTCACATATGGGCGGTGCAAAATTGCTCTAGAACACCACCTATGCATTGTTTAATGAAGTCCTACAAACACATAGTTTGAGTCACATAGATTAGATTTGGTAAACATGTGTAACATGGCGAGACAAACAAAAGTCAGTAGACCGATTGATGCAAACCCAACAGGAAGTCCACCATTTTGAATTGAAAGTGACATTTTGGTGCTAATTTTGCCATTTTTGCTAAACTTGTGCGAACTCCTCCTAGGGATTTGATCAGATCACCTTCATATTTGGTCAATGTCAACTACACCGCTGAGTTTTTGTCATAGGGTGTGGACATGGCGCCACAGCAAATTTCAATCATTCACCATGAAAATCTTATTTGCTCTCCCTTCCTACATGCATCATTCCTACGTTGATCGTGGCTCAAGAGTTGGGTGTTCACCTGGTAATCAGAAGGTTGCCGGTTCGAGCCCCGGCTTGGTCTCGGTCGTTGTGTCCTTGGGCAAGACACTTCACCCGTTGCCTACTGGTGGTGGTCAGAGGACTTGGTGGCGCCAGTGTCCGGCAGCCTCGCCTTTGTCAGTGCGCCCCAGGGTGTAGCTTGCCATCACCAGTGTGTGAATGGGTGGATGACTGGTTGTATAAAGCGCTTTGGGGTCCTTAGGGACTAGAAAAAGCGCTATACAAATACAGGCCATTTACCATTTTACATTCTTCAAGCTGGACCAAACTTCTCACATGTGATAAGGCTCCCTTGCTGAACATATTTAACTGCTATATTTAACATCAGCAACAGCGCCAACTAGTGGGAACAGAAAATGTCATGTTTTACACTTCTGGTATAGCATAGAGGTGGATGACCCAAGCCACCTTTCGTCAAAAGGCGTGACACGTTTGGAAAGATTGATATTTGTAATCAATGGTTAGAGTCCCACCCAGTGGGAAGAGAAATAAAATCTATCAGTGTGACACCAGATCGGACTTGCTGGGTGTAGGTGTTGGGAGCAGGGGCAGATCTAGAAGGGTGGCATGGAGTGGCAAGTGCCACCCTAAAATGATCATTTGCCACCCCAAGTGCCACCCCTGTTTTGCATATGACAATGTTGTTTATTAAAATAAGATAGCATTAACAGTTTGAGCGTAGTTACAGTCAACATTGAATATAAATGCTAAAACTGAATATATTGCATAGTGTCCTGGATTTTGCCACCCTCATGCCACTCTAAGAAAATTTCTCTAGATCCCCCCCTGGTTGGGAGTAGCTTAACACGCCCTCTCAACACTGCTTGCAGCTTTCATTGTTTAATTGTTGTTGCATTCCATGTTTAGAGAATAAAGGCTTGTTTTCACGTTCACTTTTGCGTCTGTGTAAGTTTCGCTTCTGAGTCCTTCTGCCTTCACGGCCTCAGCCATGACCGTCCCACATCTTTGAAATGATTTTGCTAATCGTCTTTCTTAAAGACATGAGAGAAGATCATGAACCCTAAATTGTCCTCTAATTATAGAATGACTCATAACAGGGTTCAACAACCATTCTGCAACAGCCCACACTATGTAACAGCGATCCCGAGCGGCGCAATCACAAACAAATCGCGCAGTACGTATAAAATACAGATTTCCCAGGCACAGTGAAGGCAGCATTTTCCCCGCATCAACCTGCTCGGTCTCAGTCCGCCAGCTGTCCGTTTGTCTTCCGCACAGGTTTGTGTCAACTCGTCCTTTTGTGTCACATCCAGAAAACTCCAGATGGGAATCTAAATGCCGGCTGTCTGGAATATTTCCCCGCGGACTAACCTGGACTGTGTGCGGACACAGAGGGAACAAGGGGGGAAAAGCGGCAGCGCTAACGGGCGGTAATGTTAATACGTTAGCCACGGCAGGTGCACCACGGCCACGACTGACAGGCTGTCAAACCGCAAAAATCACCGTTTCATCTCTTCACAAAGCTACCTTGGATACTCTGTCGAGGTAAGGGGACTTTAATGTCTGTTTGTGCCGTTTATTGTTTTGTTTTTTAACCTATTCCCCGGCATCTCGACGGGGAGCGGGAGATTAGTGTAGCCAAGTTAGCTAATTGTCGGTTTAACACTTTAACGGACAGAGGCGATCGCAGGTTTTTAAATCCGTGACACATTAAAGGCCCTCTGCTTTAATCAAGGGCTGGACGCTTTCATGGCAGCTTTCCAGGCCTGTGTGTGTGACGGGTGCGACACTGGAAACCAGTGCTGACCACTGGGAACTGCACTTTTTTTTTTTTTTCTTTTTGTGTGTCATGTAAACAGCAGACTGATTTTGTTAAACGTGTTCAATAAACAGAGGAAGACGGGACAAGTGACTTTGCCCTGTGGTCTCGACAAGCAGGAAGTTTTACTTTCAATTCCAGGCTTTATTATGCAGCATGTACAATTAGGAGGAAGCGAAAATGATCACGTGACACTCTCAAGCGTACTTAAAACAATGACATAAATATTTAAGAACATTGCAAGTGTTTATAACACCTGCTCTCCGTGGAAGTGCTCAACTTTCTGTTTGTTTTGGCGGTGTTTTTTTTTTTTTTGTTTGTTTTTTGTCGTTGTTGTTGTTGTTTTATCAGTGAAAGCCAGATCTGCTCAAGTTTGCCATCACGAGAAAAGGAAAAGTTAGCACATTTTGACATTTGAGTCTCAAAGAATAATTAATACTCGTGATTTCTTTTTTCTGACTGTAAATGACTGGCAGCACATTGAAATTATGCAAACCAGCTGCAAAAAACTGCATTTGCCTGGTTTATTTGTTATGAAAAGCATAACAAGTAAACAGTTTTTCTCTAGGCCTTGTATGTTTATTTTTGTGTTTTTAAGCTATTAATTTGACAGAATTCAATTTGAAGACATTCATTAGCAATAAACTTAAACTTGTTTCTTCTGTTTTCAGCAGCCTGCAGAAAATTAAACCACACTTTAGGAAACGCGTGGAGTCCTTTTTTCCTCCTGTTTCTTTTCCTTTTACTCTCTCCTATCCCGACCACCTCACCCTCTGTTTCCACGTCTGTCCCCCCTCATCATTGCATCTTTTTCCTATTTTGGGCCACGTCCATCTGTCTCCGGCTCATTTCCCCTGCCCTCACATCCAGTGACATGGCCTCGGCTGAGTCACCGCAGTCCAGTGTCCTTCAGGATGAGCTCACCTGTCCAGTGTGCTTGGACTTGTACCGGGACCCTCACTTGCTTCCTTGCGGGCACAACTTCTGCAAGACTTGCCTCGATCGCCTGAAGCGGCAGGCAGAGCGGAGTCACTTCCGCTGTCCAGAATGCCGTAACAGCCACCAGTGTAGCACCAAATTTCAGAAAAACTTTAAACTTGCCAATATCGCCGATGACTACCGTCACAGGCGCAGGGTTCGCGCCATGCCTCCCACAGCTTTAAAATCAAGGGATCTGCCGTCGTCTTCTCTCGTGCTACAACCTTGCAGGAATGGGATCGCTGTGCCATGTGACTACTGCCCTTCAGGCTCTGCCGAGGCACCGGCTGCCAGTGCTGCTGTGGACTGCTCTTCTGCTGCTTCTGTTTCTCAACAAGGGGGTGATAGCGAGGGAGCAGCAGCTCCTGCTGCTGCCGCTTCGATGTTTGCAGTAAAGACCTGCTTGAAATGCGAGGTGTCGATGTGCCAAGAGCATTTAAAGCCACATCTGGAACTGCCGGCATTCCGCATGCATCCTCTCACCGAGCCGATGAATGACTTCTGGAAGAGGAAGTGCCGTGATCATGATGAGATCTACAGGTAGGGAGGAGGAGGAGTGCCTGTAAAACATTTCTTTATTTACTAGTGAGGATGTCGCCCCCCCCAGGCTTTACTGATTTGCTCTGTTGACCAGCTTTTAGTGTTCATTTTTATCTGAGCCCTGTTATTTTTACTCCAGATATTACTGCATTGATGACAAGATATGTGTGTGCAACGCCTGTACCATAGAGGGAGGACACTCAGGACACACGATCAAGACTCTGAAAAATACAATGAAGGATTTAAAGGTACACGCTTTACCAAAATTAGAGTTTCTCCAGTCTGTAATGTTATGATGATAAAGAGGTGTTTTTTTTAATGGCTAAACACTGAATATACACGCACTGGCCACTCTATTAGATACATCTGTTCAAATGCTTGTTAATGCGAACATAATCAGGCATTAACTCGTTTAGGTAAGTAGAAATGGTGAAATTCTAATTGAGCATCAGAATGAGGAAGAGGGTACTTAAGTGATTTTGAGTGGTTGTTGGCATCACATGGTCTTGTCTGAGTATTTCAGAAACTGAGATTTTCCCACAGAACTGTGTGTAGGATTTGTAGGAATGGTCTGAAAAAGACAAAATGTCCTATGAGTGGCAGTTGAGAATTTATTTAATTGTTTAAGCTGAATGAAAGAACCACAGCAGACCCGTCCACATTTTAGCGCTGTCCAGCGTATACTTTATGCCCTCAGCTGTTTCAACACTGCTTGGCTGTAGCTTTGCAGCTCCCAGTCTCACACACCACCAACGGCAACAACAACATACTGACAGGACGCACTTCTTATTTTACGCTCAATCTTGGAGTCCCTTCATGTTAAACGTGAAACCGTTTTGTGCCTTCATTCGCTTTAAACTTACTCGGCTGCTCTTGTTTGCCAGGGGGTGCTGGACAAGCAGCTGTACAGGATAGAAAGGAAGTACAGCATGGCTGAGAAAAAATTCCAGGAGCAGAAGGAGAAGGAGCGGCACAGTAAAGTAAGAGGCCTCACATTTCACTATCTAAACATAACTGATACATTTTTTTTTTAGTATGTTACCATTTGTCCTGGGGTTTTTTTTCTTTTTTTTTTTTTTTTTTTTTTTTTCCCGTTTGGCTCTTTTGCCATCAGAATTGTTGTCTACCAGTTCTGGGAGGCCTGTACCTAAACATAAATACTGACTCAGCATAAGCATGTGCCAGTGCTACTTCTAGTTCTAGATGAAGCCTTTAAGAGAC